CCCCCCCCCAGGGTCAGGAATAAACTAAACACTTGTAGAAAATAAAGTGTATAAATGTCTCCATTGTTGTTTCTGTATTGTAAGACACAAAATGCTAATGGGCATGTGTGAAATGGGTTGCTGTGATTGTTTCCACATGGTCCAAACCTTTTCTTCATGGAGACGACACAAATGGAAGTTTAAGAGTTGTTTTTCTCAGTAAAAGCTACATTTAAATGTAGGTGAGAAACACAAACACGGCAGAAAATGTTAGTTTAAAAAAACAAAAACCAAACAGGAGTCTTGTGAATGGGGCTTAGTTTGAAATGAGTCCATCAACTAGAAAGCGCTGCAAATAAAACGTTCATGCCAGCAGTGTGTTAAACAGAGTCGATGTAACGTCCTGCCCGTTTTCTGCTGCTTGCTTTGACAGCCCAGCTCAGCAACTTGTCTTCGCTGCCTCCAGCTGAGCGTACCCAGCGTGAGACCACCCTGCAGAGCAAACGAGCCACAGTGGAGGCCTGGCTCACCAGAGAGGCCAGCACACTACAGAAATTCAGGCTTGTAAGATGACCCAGATCTAATCATTTACTTTATTGCTTTCCAACTGCTTATCACGAGTCAAGAAGATGGGTCTATATCTACACCAACAATGTGTTCTACTCCTGCTCAGACATTGCATTCATTTGTATTTTGACTGATTCAGTTATAAGCACACGACTTTACAAGTGTTCAGACCTGGTATTTAACCCTCTAAAGGTACTATTACTTTATGGTAATTATGTAACTGTGTCTTGGAGGAAAAGATGATCCCCTTATGAAACTGCTTGTACTGGTAATACTATTAAGATTTTTGTCAACAATAAACTAGTGAATCTTTTAAAGCTCTCATCCTGAAAGGAATACATAAAATTTTAATGATTTATTTTATTTTATCCCCTTAAGTTCAAGTAGGTTTATAGTCATTTCACCACATGGTACATGAGGTGGAACGAAATTATGTACACAGGGTCTCAATCCAACAATAGCAAAAATATCATGTCAAAAGAAACTGTGCACAAGGAGATATATATATATATATATATATATATATATATGTATATGTATGTATATATATATATGTATATGTATGTATATATATATATGTATATGTATATGTATGTATATATATATATATATGTATATGTATGTATATATATATATATATATGTATATATAATATAATATATAATATATATATATTTTTTTTTCCCATTATCACATTTTTGACCTTCAAACGGAGGTCAAAAGCTTGTTAGGAATTTTTTTGTCTCCAAACCGTATGTATCATTTTTCACCACTTTTTATTGTCTGTCCAAACAGGTCTCACTTGTAAATGAGTCTTCAAGGCTCAATGTGATTTATCTGTTTAAATAAAGGTTGAATGAAAAAACATACACCAAGATATACGCTAAACGAACGGCAAACATTACACTAAAAGATCGAAGATGTACTCTAAACACTAATAATGCAGAACACTACAGTGTAACATCAGCAACCCGAGCATGAGTCTGTGTGAGCAGATGAGTACAAATGAATGAATGAATTCAACTCAGTTTATTTATTTAGCTCCAAATCACAACAAAGTTGTCTCAGGGACTTTACAGGAACATTCATATAAAAGACAATTAGTAAAGTTCTCTATTTAAGGAATCCAGCAGACAAGATGAATCTTGGCTTCGTTGCAGTCTCCCATCCTGAGCAAGCACAGTGGAGACAGTGGAAAGAAAAACTCCCTTTAACAGGAAGAAACCTCCAGCAGAACCAGCTCAGGACAAGAGACCATCTGCTTTGACCGGCTGGTTGAGAGGACAGGAAGGAGAGACAGACGAACACAGAATGGTAGGTCCAGGTATAGGTCCAGGTCCAGGTATAGGTCCAGGTATAGGTCCAGGTCCAGATATAGGTCCAGGTCCAGATATAGGTCCAGGTCCAGGTCCAGGTATAGGTCCAGGTATAGGTCCAGGTCCAGGTGTACCTGAAAGACAAAAAAACACATGTTAAGGATATAAAAAATAATTACAAATACAAAACAGGTTGAGCAGAGTAAGTAAAGACAGTAGCAGAGTGAAAAGTGTGGTCAGTTTGTCCTCCAGCAGTCTAAGTCTATAGCAGCAGAACTAAGGGACAGCTCAGGAAACCCAAGCCAACCCTAACTATAGGATTTATCAAAAAGGAAGGTCTTAAGTCTAGTTTTAAAACTGGACATTGTGTCAGCCTCACGGACAGAGATTGGAAGTTGGTTCCACAAGAGAGGAGCCTGAGAACTGAAAGATCTGCCTCCCATTCTGCTTTTGGAAACTCTAGGAACCACAAGTAAACCTGCAGCCTGAGAGTGAAGTGCTCTGTTAGAAAAATATGGAACAATAAAATCTGTAATATAAGATGGAGCTAGGTTGTTGAGAGCTTTGTAGGTTAGAAGTAAGATTTTGAATTCTATTCTGGATTTGACAGGGAGCCAATGGAGAGAAGCTAAAACTGGAGAGATATGATCTCTCCTACTAGGGCTGCAACTAACTATTATTTTAATAATGGATTAATCTGGCGATTTAAAAAAAATAATAATAATTTTTGATTAATTGATGAATCCACAAAAAAAAAAAAAACGTTTTAATTTCCACCTCTTTATTCCAAAATTGAACATTTGACTGACATAGCAAATTGCAAAAAAAATAAAATAAATAACAGGTTGCTACTGTTATTCAGTAGGTCATCACAGGTCATCTACTGTACGACTATTCTGTTAGTAAAATATTGAATAATAAAAAAAAAATTAAAAGTTTGTCAAATAGCTTCAATAAAAAAATAAATGTACACCAAAATATATACAAATGTATGCTTTATACCTGCACAATATGCAGCTACTTTGTAAAATGTGTCCTTGAGGGAAGAGTGTAATCTGGATTAACCTGGATTAAAGGTGTGGATTATTGTAGTGAAGCCTTCGTCTTCAACCATGGACAGAGGCCTCATGTCAGTGACGATCATGTTCAGGATGTTTCAGTGAAGACAGCTGCTGCTGTGGTGTCCATGATGTCTGTCCATCATGAAGGATGTTGTTGTTTGTTGTTGTTTTCTGGAATGAGACAGTAAATATGTATTATAGCATAATTTACAGCAACTCAAGAAATGCCTTGTTTCACTTACAGCGTTAGGTTCAGGCAAAAGTAGCTAAAAGAGCAATTAAACACATACACACACACACACACACACACACAATACTTAATTACACACATTTGAGTAGATGTAATAAATTACTTTAATTCCTGTTTAAATGCAATTCATCCTGCCATACCTGCAGTGTCTTCAGACTTTGGCAGCAAATTAAAAGTTGAAGCTTAATCATTAAATTATTATCTTTGTGTTAGATTTATTTATAAATCACATTTAAACACTGCTTGTACCAGTTAAATTAAATAAAAACACACGTTCTGTATCACCGTCATGAATCAGACAAACGAGCAGCAGCTTCAGCTGCTGAGAGTCTGACGTTACGTTTTCTCTCTTGGAAACAGAACAAATGCAGGATATTGTAGAGACTCACTGCTGCTGAGCTCCTTCATCCACACCGCGGTGAAGTTAGATTAACGACTCCGACGTGTTTACGTTTCATCACCACTGTTCTCCCGTGTCGTGCCATCACTTTTGCAAAGCTTGCTTGTTACGGATTTTTTATCTTTGTGAAGCATCAAGAGCTCCCACCTGTGGAGGACTTGGGTCGAGCCGTTTTCTCCTCGTCGCTCATTTGTAAAATTTACTTAATTTCCTTTGAAAACAGCCTCAGCTCTGCGTCGTCATTGATCTTCCCTCAGAAATAAATTGATTTGTTGTTCAGTCGTTTGACCGAGTGGTCACGAAAACCACAAGTCATCCTTCAATTGATTACTGAACTAAAAGCTAGCTTACTTTTTTATGAATCCACAGTTTTGACAATGCTGTAGTGCTTGTGGGGATAGTGTGAATGACTAGTTGGTTTCCACCGCTGTATACTGCAACATGTCTGCAGCATCTACACATGGTGGGTAACTTCCATCCAATATGTAGGATGTTCCCAAGCACAGTGTCTCATCTTACCCGTTTCAGCTTGACTCTTTGTTTTGTTGCTGCTTGTTGTTGGCGTGAGTTTGGCTCACAGATATCGGTCTTGTGTTGCGGCTGCTTGCAGGACCTGTCAGAACAGCACCAAAAGACTTTGGGTCTGCTGAGGAAACAGCAGACTCTCATACTGGATGAGGAGCTCATTCAGTGGAAAAGGAGACAACAGCTGGCTGGCATTGGAGGTCCACATGAGGGGGGGCTGGATGTCCTCCAGTCCTGGTATTTTCTGCATACATTCTTTCATCTTTTAAATTATTATTATTTTTTACCTATTCAGTTAGGGTTTTTTATCTCTTTTTTTATTAATTTGTCCTCAGGTGTGAGAAACTGGCTGACCTGATTTGGCAGAACCGGCAGCAAATACGGCGCTGTGAGCACCTGACCCAGCAGCTTCCCCTGCCGGGCCCGATGGAAGAACTGCTGAACAAACTCAATGCTGATATTACTGACATCATCTCCGCTCTGGTCACCAGGTGGAAAAATCATTTAACCTACCTGATCCCTGGTTGTCTTTTTTTACTTTTTACTTTGTCACTAAGATCTAGAATGCTGGAAATGCATAAAAAATACAATAATATAGACGACTACTGAAGCCATCCAACTGTCTCCGTTTTCAGCAAAATACACACAAATACATGTCAAACTGACTTTTATTCTAAGCCAACATGAATAACTGTTTTTCATGAAAAGCCAAACTCTGTTTATGTCTTCTTTAAAAAAAACTGTTTTTCTTTTGAAAAAACAAACAATAAAACAGGAATATTAACTTTTTTTCAAGACACCTTTTTAGAAGTCAGAACAAAGTTTGCCAGTTAGACTAAAAGTAAAATGTGTAATATTTATTTCTCTGACACCAGATTTTGTACATTTAAATAAAAAAATCCCCCAATGGAAACCAAACATTCACATTGAAACAAACAAAGAATTACCATAAAGATCAGTGTGAATGCTGAGTGCTCACTGACTTGGCTGCAATTCCTTTGAGAATTAAACAAGCAAGTTAGAAGCTTACTGCTAAAATCAGCTAAACCATAGCTAAAAGCAGAAGTTAGCACAAACAGATTGGCCAAGCTGCACTGCAGATGATCTGAACCATCTCTTGAAGTCTACAGCCGCTTCCTTTGATCGCTCAGTTCTGTGCAGTGTGTGTCACATCATATTCATAACATAAATGTGGTCAAAAACTAATCTAGACAAGTCCTCTGGATGTTTTATTTTTGGAAACATTTCTTCTTTCATCCAAAGGACTTCATCAGTCCGAGGAGCCACAACAAACTCAGTCTTATAAATGGCACCTTCACATATGTGGGCGGCTGTGGCTGAGTGGTTAGAGCAGTCGTCCGCCAATACAAGAGTTGGGGGTTCGAATCCACCAGCAGTCACATGCTGAAGTGTCCCTGGGCAAGACACTGAACCCCTCATAGCCTCTGATGTGTGTCCCATCAGTGTATGAATGTGATAAAGTTCTGATAAGTCTCTTTAGAATGATTTGTTCACTTAGCTTTGTAGAGATCTAGTATAGAGCTGTATGAATGGGTGAATGAGTTACAGATTGTTGTAAAGAGCTTTGAGTATCTTGAAATAAGATGGAAAGGTTCTGTATTAGTACAGTCCATTTACATAGTGGGCCAACCAGTTTGATGGTGCTCCAATGGTTTCTGGAGTCCACCCTCTCCCCCGCCGACTCGTTTGAAGCAGCCATGGCCAAAGTGGTTTAAAACATCCTAATTCATGCTTAATAATCCAGGTAGAAAAAGCCAACAAACTCTGACTGATGAAGTCTTTTGGATGAAAGACAAAATGTTTCAACAAAATGAAACCGTCCAGAGAACCTGACTGAACTTTGTTGGAGTTTTCTACCTGGATTACTGAGCATGAATCAGGATAATCTGGACTACCACAAAAAAGTTCAATCATGTCATCTGGACAGTTTCTAAACGTTTTCTTCCAAAACAGAAACTGTCCAGATGACATCTAAAAAAGTTAAATCTGGTCCTCTGGACATTCAAAAAAACAAAACAAAGCAAATCAACAACAAAATGTAGAAACGTTTCGTCTCTCATCCGAGAGACTTCCTCAGTCTGAGGAGCTGTATTCAGCTCCTCATTTGGAGCACAAGTTAGGAGTCATCAGGACTCTGTACCACAGAGCAGACAGCGTCCCCACTAGCTCAGGAGCCAGGCAGAAGGAGAAATCCCACACAAGACAGGCTCTAGAGCAATGTGGATATCCTAACTGGGCCTTCCTGAAAGCAGAGAAGAAACCCAAACAGGACTCCAGTCAGCCATCAGGTGAAAAGGAGGAACCCAGACCCAGACCAGTGGTCATTCCATATGTTGAGGGAGTATCAGAGAAACTGAGACGTTTATTTTCTAAACATAACGTCCCAGTGGCTTTTAAACCCCAAAATACATTACGGCAAAGACTGGTTCATCCCAAAGATCCAGTCCCCCGGCACAAACAGAGTAATGTTGTGTATGCTGTTCAGTGTCAGGAGGGTGATCAGTCTTACATCGGGGAAGCAAAACAGCCACTGGCCAAAAGGATGGACCAGCACAGAAGATCAACATCATCAGGCCAGGACTCTGCGGTCTACACTCATCTCCAGGCCAGCGGTCACTCTTTCAGGGATGAAGATGTTCACATCCTGGACAGAGAGGAACGATGGTTTGAGAGAGGAGTAAAGGAGGCCATCTTTGTGAAAAGAAATCGTCCATCGTTAAACAGGGGTGGAGGCCTCCAGGTTCAACTGTCCCCCTCTTACAATGCTGTGATTGCTAGTATCACTCAGCCCTCTGTGAACAGTAAACAGCCATCAGTGTGCTAATGATCCATTGTTATGCTGATGGTCCTTCTTGAGCATGTGATCAGCTGGTTTTGGTTGTCAGCAGCAAAACTGGTTGATCCACCCTGAGAAGGTGCTATTTAAGAGACTGAGCTGAATACAGCTCCTCAGACTGAGGAAGTCTCTCGGATGAGAGACGAAACGTTTCTACATTTTGTTGTTGATTTGCTTTGTTTTGTTTTTTTGAATGTCCAGAGGACCAGATTTAACTTTTTTTAGATTTTTCTACCTGGATTATTGAGCATGCATCAGGATGTCCAGATGACATGATTGAACTTTTTTGTGATTTATTGACCTGGATGAGTGAGTACTTACTCATAATCTAGACTAGTTTCACTTTGTATTTGTTGCTTTGCTGCCTCCACTGGGAGGTGCCTGACTTTTTTCTTCTTTTCTTTGTGTGTGCATTCAAAGCATGTCTATGAGATTATAGTCTTCTTTTTCCAAGCACACTAAGATCAATTAGGCTGACTGTTACCTAATATGTTTCGGCTTTCTCCTTCTTTTTCAGCACCTTCATAATTGAAAAGCAGCCCCCCCAGGTGTTGAAGACCCAGACCAAGTTTGCGGCCACAGTCCGTCTTCTGGTGGGCGGGAAACTCAACGTCCACATGAACCCACCGCAGGTCAAGGCAGTCATTGTTAGCGAGCAGCAGGCCAAAGCTTTGCTGAAGAATGAAAGTACACACAGGTGAGCGCAGCACAAGCTAATGAAAAGCTGTATCAGACACTTTTTGATGATTTATTTTGTGTGATTCACCACCTTTAACTGGATCACAGTGACACATTGTAACAAACAGTTTAGCCCATATTTTATGTGAATACACTTTTTACTGCTCTTACAGATTATAATACTGCTGGCATGTTTACTGAAGAGGGGGAGGAGATTTTCAGCGCAGGGATTTTTACCAGAACGTTTAGCTTCTTGTCTCGTTATCATGCATGCAGCATTCTGCCATCTTTTGAACACGTTCATCAGCTGGGTTCATATTTTTACAAACTTTAAACTTTAGTTCTGTTTTGGTCCCAAAAGAAGTAAAAAAAAAAAAATTTCAATATTTTTGTCTGTCATTTCAGAAAGTGAAACTCATTGATTACACTGATTTATTACACAGAGTGAAATATTTCAAGACTTTATTTCTTGTAATTTTGATGATTATGGCTTGCAAATAATAAAAAAATTTATTCAGTGTCCATCTGTATTGAATAAAACTTTTTCACAATATTCTATTTTTTTAGATGCACCTGTATATGTAAGCCTTATGAGTTGGATAACGTAAGAAATAGACAACATGCTGACTTCTATTTTGGCGTGTGGCTACATCTAGCCATAAAAATGTGCCAAAATTGGGTGCCCATGTCCAAATCCAAGATGGCCACCATCAGTGGCAGTTTGAGGAAACTATGCTTTTTAGCTTTTATATTGCCTAAAAGTGTAGTTTCCTCAAATGACTGAGGTGATGAAGATTTATCTATGGTGGCCATGGCCACCACTGGCCACCCCCTGGCTCCACCCATTGTGCCTTGTGGTGGATAAAATTGCTCCCTTCGCTCGCCAGGACCTGTCACTATGCGCTGCCTTGGACAAGCAAAGCAAAAAAATAACAACAAAAACAACTTCTAATTCTTCTACACAGTGTAACTCCTACCCATTTGAATATCTTTGGTATATTATATACAATATATATTTTGGTTTGTGCCTCGAGTACCCAGACTCAAATGCTTTGGGCAGAATGGATCAGATCTCGAGGATTTTACTCAGTCACGTTCCATCGGTGTGGTCATGTAGTTTGGACATTTCTGAACCGAGTGGACCAACACAGACTCTAGGTAGATGTCATTAAGTTCTGCCTGTCCCCAAAACAACTGTGTGTTTATCTGAATTTGCCTGGAGAACGTGATCTGACGCTCACCACCCCCTCCCCGAGGAATTTCCAACTGATAACCAGATGAAACCAGCTGAATAAACTTTGTGTCATCATTTCAGGACTCTTGGATTCTCATAGATGTTATTCTTGGCCATCCTCGAGAATGTTTATGGATCTCACCGGAGGACATTGACTGATTATCCCATCCTTATCATAACTCTTACAGTGCCCTCGAGAGCGTCCATGGACATCACTCACTGCTCTTGTTGTCTCCCTCTGCAGAATGTTTACGTCACTATGTGCTTGTTTGTGTGAGGTGTTTTTTAATATCAAGAGTTTTTCTTCTCGGGCAAGAAGAAAAAGTCTGATAGGAATTTTGCCTCCAATTCCTACGTGTGTCCAGTTTATCACTTTTATTGTCTGTGCAAACAGGTCTCACTTGTAAATGAGTCTTTGAGGCTCAATGTGACTTATCTGTCTAAATAAAGGTTGAATGAATGAATCTTGCACCAAAAACATTTAGGTTTACTGGCATTTTCACTCACCTTGAAAACTATAAACATTCATTCTTCAAATCCCTTGGCGACAGGGGGCTTGGCGTACCGCTTGCTTTGGATTGGTGCTGTATAAATAATGTTTTGTTATCTTTCTGTCTCAACAGTGAAAGCAGTGGGGAAATCCTAAACAACAACTGTGTTATGGAGTATCATCAAGCCACTGGTACCCTCAGTGCACATTTTAGAAACATGGTAAACTGATTATATTTGAAGATTGTAAATATTGCTCCATGCTTGTAAGACCTACTAACATTTCAGCTTCTTAGCTGTAATGTCTCATTAGATTAAAATTTAGAGTGTATGTGTTCTTACGTTTTTGTGAAAGTTAAATGTATGCAAGTCTATGTGAATGGTCAACATTTCAGCTTTTCTTTCTAAAAACTTATCACCTTATTTAATTTTAAAGTTTTTACCAAAGAAAGGAAAATTGCAATAATTTATTTGTTTCACTTTTAAAAACTTATTTTTTTATTGCTTTAGTGTGACTTATTTCTAAGGTTGCGTAACATATTTATTTATGTAAAACTTTGTTTACTGTAATGTAGTTGTATATTTCACTTCTAAAAGTACCACAGATGCCGTCTTTGCTTTGAGGATGCTGATGGAGAAGTACAGTGAGGGTCAGAAAGAACTCCATTGTGTCTTTGTGGATTTAGAAAAAGCATCTGACAGAGTGCCAAGAGAGGAGGTGTGGTGTTACATGAGGAAATCTGGAGTGGCAGAGAAGTATGTTAGACTGGTACAGGACATGTATGAGGACAGCAGGACAGTGGTGAGATGTGCTGTAGGAGTGACCGATAGCTTCAAGGTGGAGGTGGGAGTGCATCAAGGGTCGGCTCTGAGCCCCTTCTTGTTTACTCTGGTGATGGACTGACTAACAGATGAGGTCAGGCAAGAATCCCCATGGACTATGATGTTTACAGATGACATTGTGATCTGTGGTGAGAACAGGGAACAGGTGGAAGAGAACTTGGAGAGGTGGAGGTATGCACTTGAAAGAAGAGGAATGAAAGTCAGCCGTAGTAAGACAGAGTCCATGTGTGAATGAGAGGGAGGAGGTGGAACAGTGAGGCTACAAGGAGCAGAGGTCACAAAGGTGCAGGACTTCAAGGACTTGGGGTCCACTGTCCAGGAAAATAGGGAGTGTTAGAAATAAGTGAAAAAGAGAGTCCAGGCAGGATGGAGTGGATGGAGAAAAGTTTCAGGAGTGATTCAGGAAAAGTTTACAGGACAGTGGTGAGACCAGCTATGTTGTATGGTCTGGAGACAGAGACGTGGACAAAAAGACAGACAGAACTGGAAGTGTCAGAAATCAAGATGTTGAGGTTCTCCTTAGGAGTGACAAGGATGGAGAAGATTAGGAATGAGATCATCAGAGGTACAGCACAGGTTGAACAACTGGGAGATAAAGTTAGAGAGGACACACTGAGATGGTTTGGACATGTCCAGAGGAGGGACAGTGGTTTGGACATGTCCAGAGGAGGGACAGTGGTTTGGACATGTCCAGAGGAGGGACAGTGGTTTGGACACGTCCAGAGGAGGGACAGTGGTTTGGACATGTCCAGAGGAGGGACAGTGGGTATATTGGTAGAAGGATGTTTGTATTTTTCCTGGCAGCTGCATTTCTAAGAGGAGATCTATGGATGCAGTTAGAGAGGACATGGAGGTAGTTGGAATGAGGACAGAGGATGCAGAGGACAGAGGTGGAGGAGGATGACTCACTGTGGCGACCCTGAAGAGAGAAAAGCTGAAAGAAGAAGATTTCACTTCTGTTTATTTGTTTACAGTCACTGAAGCGAATCAAGCGCTCCGATCGTCGAGGTGCGGAGTCGGTGACGGAGGAAAAGTTCACAATTCTGTTTGAGTCACAGTTCAGTGTTGGTGGAAACGAGCTGGTCTTCCATGTCAAGGTTATACAGACGAGATGTTGTTTTTTGTAGCATTGTTGCTTTAAATGGTGTTGATAGTGGAATGGATTTGAACGATTTCGGTTTGGCATCTAATACTATTCTCGTTTTGCCTGTGACCTGCAGACACTATCTTTACCTGTAGTCGTGATTGTTCATGGCAGTCAGGACAACAACGCCACAGCAACAGTGTTGTGGGACAATGCCTTTGCTGAGCCGGTAAGACAATTTGTTTATAAAGGTCTGAATTTTACAATCTCCTCATACAGCAACAGTATTTTACAGCTGAATTAAGGCTGTCCAATAAAATACTTTTTACAAACCGTAGAATACTATCTGACCGAGAACGAATCATCAAATTTAAACGTGATTTGATCCACATGTCGGGCTGTTGTAAACAAATATTTTAGTAATCCAGTAATCTATAGATTATTCTGGCCATTAATCGGGTAATCGAAAACAAAATTTGTCAGGTTCTGCAGTAACTACCGTACTCATTTTATGAGTAATACAAATACATGAAAAATAAACAACCTGTTTAATTCCTCTTTTTAAAATATTTTATTGCTTAAGTTGAATTATTTTTAAACATCACATAAAAATTTAAATTCTGTGAAATAATTTTTATGGATTGGAAAACTGAATGGAATTGACAAAGTAGGATCTGGAAGGAAGGACATGATTTGTATTGAAGGTGGAGATGATCTTCTGGATCCTTCATCTTCCACCAGGACAGCAGCTGCACGTCTGTGATGATCACATTTAAAACTCAGCTGCTGCTCAACCAACATCCTGGAGCTCTTTGGACGAAGCTGTCCAACATATGACTGACATTTACTGAGCAGAAGAAGAAGAAAATTATTTGTTTGTAATGCCTTAATACATTTTCAAGTGTACTTCACTGGATATTATAAAATTATGTAATATTGTCAAGTAATCTACACTTTCTGATGACCTGCTGCGATCAAAGTAACATTAGTGTCACTTGTATTTGATTTATGCATTTTAAGCTTTTATTTATGTGTGAGGTTTGAGGATGATTTAATTAAAACCCTCTGTCACTGAATTATTTTTAACCATCACATAAAAATCTAAATGCTGTAAATAATGTTTATGGATTGTAAACCTGAATGTTATCTTTATGTTATAAACTGAGTAATGTACAGTTTGAGTTTGTACATGGAGTTCTGCAGACTGTTTTATTATTTAGTTTGATTGCTGAGCTATAAACAAATATAACAGAAGTAATAAATGCAGATTAATCACAGTTTTCAGTCATAAACAGCGACAAGAAGAAAAAACTACTAACTCATGTAAAAACATTTACACTTGAAATATTCACTAAGTATTAAAGTCAGGATGGAAGTTCATCAATAAATAAATGTTTCAGTCTGTTGCTGCTTTCATCTTTAACAAAGTTGCATCAAGTCGTGCACAGTTTGTTTTTCTCACACAGCGTACAGACTCTGCCAGGAAGCCACTATGATTAGTCAGTAGATTTAATGTTAGTAAAATATGCCTCATTTTACATCTATAGCATGACAGATGATCACACATGTAGTTTAATGTATTTTGCACAGAGAACATGATCCCTGTTGCAGCTGAGGACGAGTTTGATGCTACAGCGGCTGTTTTCTCCTCAGACGCTGCAACATGGACGACGTGCTGTTGTGGATACTCCAGTTCTGTTTGCACTGGAAGCATTGGGCTGTGTCGTCGTTTCTGTTGAGCCTAAAATGTTCCCAGACTTTTGACAGTTCTTGTTGTTTTCTGAGCTCTTCGGATGTTTCCTCCATAGCTACAAACTTAGCACATGCATGTTAGCAGAAGTGCTAGCGTTGTGCAACACGAAAACCCTCCAGCTAGACCACAGTGCTCTGAACAGTTTAACGAAGCTTCCAGGAAGATAAATTTGCCTCGAGGATTTTTTGTAATGATTCGAGGAATCGTTTCAGCCCTATCCACGTGCAAAACAGTGTTGGTAATACAAAAGTTTTGGTTTACAAATAGCTAGAGCATCTAGACCAAGCAACAGAGTGGTGGTATCACACGTGACGTGATGGTGTTTTCAGGTAGTTGCTGGAGCATCCAACAGTCAGTCGAAACGGTGATTGTCAGACCTCTGCAGACAGATGTTGGACACATTAGACAGCATTACAAGCACTTGATGGAGTTTGGTAGGGGTCACATTGTGGGTTTGAATGAGGCCAAAGGTTTCTTGGTGTACAGTTGACCAACAACAGATGTCGGTGTCTAATGTTTGAACCAGTGGGTAGATGAGCCCTTCACATGTTGTGAAGATTCAAGTTAACCACCCCAAGTGAGGATTGTCATAGTTTACACTAAATCTCTCAGACCCTTGTTCCTGTCATCCTAACATTGTTGACAAGTGACGTATTATTTTATGTTCAGCGATGAATCTTGTTTCTTTATGACCACGGATGAACAGTCTCTCCATATGGTGAGAGGGATGAGAGGAACAAGCATGCCAAGTTTTGGAGGGAGACACTGGTGTTACTCCTGACATCATGGATGTCATCACACTTCAATCTCCTCTGCTCAACTGACTAAACTTTTGTCTGGTATTAATACTACTGCCTGCTCCTTGGATCCCATTCCCTCTCCTCTCATCTAAAGCTGTCTCCCCATTGTCTCTTTTCTGATCACAAGAATCCAACTCCTCCCTTACTTCTGGATCTATTACACAGTCTCTTGAGTTGGCAGCTATCACACCAATAATTAAAAAAAAAAAACCTGGGCTTGACCCTGATAACTTCATAAACTTAGGGCCTATATCCAATCTTCCCTTTCTGTAGAAAATTTTAGAGCAAGCCATAGCTGAACAACTTCAGATCCACCTCAAATCCAATAGCTTGTTGGAACCATTCCAGTCCAGTTTTCGTCCAAAACACAGCACCGAAACAGCTCTTCTCAAAGTTACCAACAATCTCTTCTTTTCCTCTGATTCTGGCCAGCTCAGTGTCCTCATCCTCCTGGACCTCACTGCAGTCAGTCCATCCTCCTGTCTCAAGTCCAACCTGAACATCACTGACTCCACTCTGTCCTGGTTTCAGTCCTACATCACATACTGGCAACAGTTTATTCATATCAACTGCTGCTCCTCCTCCATAACCCCTCTATCCCAGGGTGTTCCCCAAGGTTCAGTGCTTTGTCCTCTCCTCTTCATCCTCTACATCCTCCCCCTTGGTAATATCATCCATCGTCATGGCCTCCATTTCCACTGCTACGCTGATGACATACAGATTTACATTTCTACTACATCCATAAACCCCAATATCCACTCCACCCTCACCCATTGCTTAAGTGACATCAAAATCTGGATGAAGCACAATTTTCTCATATTAAATACTGACAAAACTGACATACTCGTCATTGGTCCAAACAGTGTTACCAAGTCCACCCAAAACTTCTGCCTCAACTTTGACAACATCACTCTCACTTCATTCCTGCTCATTTGTAATGTTGATATTCTTCTCGACTCCACTCTTTCATTCAAATCACACAACAAACAGATAATTCAGACGGCATTCTTCCATCTCAAAAAAATAGCACGACTCTGCCCATCACTCACTTTCTCCACTGCTGATTTTGAAGTCCTAATCCAAGCCTTTGTCACATCCAGAATCAACTATTGCAATAGCATTTTGTACGGTACACCATGAAAAACTCTCAACAAACTGCAATACAATAGTCTCTCGTTTATCGCTGGGGATCCGTACCCTGAAGCCCCGCGATAAGTGAAAATCCTCAAAGTAGGAATAGTAAACAAGTAGTAAGTAGCAGTTTATTTTAGTGTGTGTGTGTGCGTGCGTGCGTGCGTGTGTATATGTATATATATATAATCAGTGCCTTGCGAAAGTATTCGGCCCCCTTGAACTTTTCAACCTTTTGCCACATTTCAGGCTTCAAACATAAAGATATAAAATTTTAATTTTTTTGAAGAATCAACAACAAGTGGGACACAATCGTGAAGTGGAATGAAATTTATTGGATGAGTCAAACTTTTTTAACAAATAAACTGAAAAGTGGGGCGTGCAATTGTAGTATGACATATATGGATATATTCATACAATTTTTCACGAGTTCTTCATTTTTCTGACTGTGTAAATACCGTGCATTGAATTTAACAGAAATGCGAACGAGAGACGTTATTATCTTTGACCCATCAAATGAATGCGGTCATTTATTTTCAGAATCAAAGTTTAACATCAAACATTTACATTAATTTGGCAAAATATGAAAATAATAACAGACAAGTTTCACAGATAATGGACATCAATCACACGGCGGTGATCGAGGACTTTGCTTCAGATATTTCTAAGATATCTGTTATGATCTTAGGAGAAAGGAGAGTTTAAGATGGAAATGGAGATTTATCTTACAGAGAGATGTGTGAGGGAATTAATCTGTTTGACCAGAAACGTGCACGCTCCTTCAGATCTCAGCTTGCCCACGGTACACTTGGTCGAAAATAGAACCTTCTACCTGGTTGATGATAAAATCAGCGTCGGCGTAGGGTTCCTTTCTGACTCTTTCAGCGTCTCCGTGAGAACTGCCAAACCCTTAGAGAGTCGTACGAGGTTATCCAAACAGAAGTTATAATCCCAAAACGTCTCTGGATCATCTTGAATGCGTTTGCATCCAAGAACTCTGAACTCCTTTCATCTCTTTAGCTCTTACACTCTAGCTCTTTAACTCCATCACTCTTCAGCACTCTAGCACTCTCAGAGCTCTGCAGCATCAGACTCTCTAAGAACCGGGAAGTTGCCACATTTTAAATGAGTTGACTTCCGGGTCAATTTAGAGCTTTCTGATTCGTGGATGGACCAGAATAGAGGTGTGGTTTGTGATGTAAGATGTTATCAAATTCAAGGTCAGAGAATGAGATTGTTTAACAACAGACAGAGAGATTATTGCAGAAAACCAGACTTCGTGGAGTCAAACTCTGCTGTATCTTCTGTAAAGATTAAACATGACATTTCTTCTCGGTAAACATTTTAGTTGACCGAAGCCTGAACTTTAACATACTTACAAAACTTGCTCATTGCAGACAGAAAAATCAAGAAATGCATATTAACCTGATTTCTTCTTTGAATGAGGAATAAAAATCATTACTTACTGTTTATGTAAAATAAAAATGAGTAGTTCTCTTCAACCTGTAAGCATTGAGTGAACTAACACAATTTGATTATCAAACA